AAATAGCCATGACTGCTTTTGTAGGAAAATCTTACCTTTGATTCCTTAGGCCCTTTTGTATGCATTGGTTAGGTTTATGTGGAAAAGAGCTTTGGGAAAGACATTTTAACCGTGTTGCAGCCCATTCAAAATTACATGCATGTTCATGCCAGGGTTGCACTGTGATAATGAGGTGCCTTTAGACATGCCAGGGGTGAAGTTGCATAGAGAGGATGCAAGGCTGTCACGTCTTGGTGTTTGTTTGATCAGTACTTGTGCAGAGTTGTGATGTGCATGTCGTGGTTTCAGTAGGAAAACAGTTTGGTTTCAGCAGAAAGCTAAGGGAAACCTGCATTACTTAAATGTGCAATGGGAACCGCATAGTTCTTCTGCAGGAATTAGCAAGTGCATTTGAAGTGTAGAGATTGTATAGTCAAGTGGATGGAGCACTTGACAGGAGCCTGAGAATAATATGTCTTTCTTCAGCCTAGACATTGAGTCATTGTGTGATGTCTGGCAAATTGCTTCAACTCTTTCTGGCTTTCCTTCCCCCACAGGAAATAGAGGACTCCGCTTTAGAATGAGATCTGTAAGAGCTAGTGTAATAAATAATGGTTATAATGATACAGTTCTCTGCAAAAGCTTGGATAATCATCTTCAGCAGTGGCATTAGTTTGAATTTGTTTTCTTAATTGAATGGAGGTTTGACATATACAATTTCGTGTTTCAGTTGGGCAAACTGATCCTTCACGGGCTGGTGCAGAAGTTCTAGTGATTTATTTTTTTACTTGTAAACAGAATTCTTATTTTAATGGGAATAAAGATCTTTACAATTTGAAGCCAATTGCCAACAGAGGGTTGCAAATTGTTAATGCAAGGTTAAACTAATTTACAAATAGGGAGCTACTTGCATTTTAAGTATCTTACGTTGTTACAGAAGTAGCAGAGTTGTGTTCCTCCTAGTATAACAGTTACATTTTATTTTAAAACAGAATGTTAGCTGCTGCTGAAAAGATCATGAAGCTGTCTAGATGAAGAGGGACAGGAAATCCAATGCATTTTTTTGTGCTTGCACCACATCCTGGTACCACATGATCAGTGATTGCCCTCCTCACCTCTGGTCTGAGCAGATTTGGGATTCTGCAGTGAAGTGATGTCCCACATGTGCCAGTGGCTATGCTGCTGTCTTAGCCTGCACAGCAGTTACTGCATTTCAGGCTGGCAGTCTCTGAGCTAATGGCAAAAGAAACATGCATTGGTATTGATTAAATGAAACATAGGTTGAAAACAATGATAAACGGTGCCTGTTAGCTTTTCAGGATTGTTGATTTTAGTATTTTCCACAGGTGCACAGATACCCATTGTAGCAATATATAAAGCCATAAGGTTCATCTTCTCTTCTCAGCTATGCAGGACATAGCTTAAAAAACATAAGGGTAACCACTGTCTCCTAAGGAATGGACCAGTAGTTAATGGGTTTGAGCACAGGTTACACAGAACAACGATTAGCTGTACTGTGTCTGCTGCAGGAGCTTGTATGATAAAGGCTCAGCAAATGCTAGTTTGTCCTAGATATGTCCTTTTTGCTGTCTGCCATGTGCTCACATAAAAAGCTTTATAACATACCTGAATGGGCCTTTTAGAAATTCTTCTGCTGGTTAGTAACCTGTAAGACAATATCTTTTTTTAGAACATTCTTCTTTCCTTCACTCTTTGACTCCCATTCTTCTCTTTTCCCCTGGATGGATCCCTGCGGCAAGAAAGTCTCTTCAGCTTGAATTCTTCTTTCTTTGCTGTCCTTTTCAGTTAATTTTCAATTCACTTATGTATATTCTATGTCTCTGCTTGTTCTCCCAGGAGATGTCAGACAATAACCTCCTATGCTGTAGATCAGGGGATTTCTGAAAATGCACGAGGTAAATTGAGCAACATGAGAACTAGCTAATGCTAATTAATTAAAAAATGTTGTATTATACAATTATATATATTGTTTAAAGATAATACCAGAGCTCAGAATATTTCTATTCCCTCTACAGTGGTCCCTAATTTGTTAGAATAGGTTTGACCAATTCTACTCTCATGCAGTGCTCACATACCAGGCCTTAAAAGGTCACAGCAAATGGGATCTAAAAAGCCTCTTCTAGTTTTGCTAACATGAGTTCCTTAACAATTGAGTCAAATTGATAAAAATAAAAATAAAAAATGGAGAAGGCAATACCAGATGCTGATATTATAGCTATTATTTCCCGTTGCTTTGGTTAGAGGCTTTGCACCATGAAAATTTGTTCCATGCAAAGAGATCTTCATGGATTATAAAACAGGACTGTCATTAAACACTTGTTTTACATCTTACTGTGATTCCCTGATTCTTTGAGAGCAAAAATAGGTTATCTCTGACTGCTCTGCCGACTGAAGCATCTAGGGATTGCTGTAATCTGTGTTTTGCTGTCTGCATCCCTAGAGGACTCATTACCAGCTGGAGAGAGACAAAAGGTGCTCCCACCAAGATGACACTTTTCTTCCCCTGTCCTCTTCTGTCGAGTGAGCTGGTTAAAAGACCTGCTATGACAACCACAGGCTAGCTGAGAGTTTTCCCACAATCGGGGAATTAGCTGGCCTGATAAGGCAACTATTTGGTCTCTTACTACTTACATCTGACATAAATGTGTCATCACAGACGAGAAGCTGACATGCAAAATGCTTTCCCATGGGCAATGCAGTTTTTTAAACTGGTGGTGCAGAATAAGCTTAAAAGAACAGACACAGTGATACGTATTTATGACATCAGGACTCCCCTCGCATTAAATTAGGCAATTTTATATGACTACTAAGAACCCTCAGCTTCTTTGCTAGTCTGTGGAGCTGCTTTCAGTCATCTGTTGAGAATGTTTCTTAAATTCTTGGGTTGCCTTGCACCCTTCTGCTTTGGTTAGGAACACAGAGCAGTCACGGCAGTTGGAACTAAAGGCGCAGCTTGAGGTTACAGGACAGGGTTATGGAAGACTTTGGTTATTTCTAAGCTTGATCTGGCAAAGCATTCATGAAGGTGCTGAGGTATTAACATCTTTGCACTAAGCCATTTGAAAAACAGGATTTGCAAAAAAGGTGCTGACAGTGTATCTCCAGGATACAAAAAGAGTTTCGTGGAATAATGCTCTGTAAGCTGCTCTCTTTAACCTACTATTCTACCAGGCACCATGTGTTTGCCAAGTTAAAGAGAGAGGCACATGGCACAAGAGCTGGCAGTATGAAAAGTGTTGTTAAAAAATGAATGATTGGAAATTTTTTCCACAGCCGAAATGGGGTTGGATTACCTCATCTTTTTTTTTAAACGATTACACTAACCTCTGAGATAAAACCCATTTTATCCCCTAAGTAAAGTTGAAGTATGTTTGGAAAACCAGGCATTTTGAAAATCCAGAAGATTTGTATTTCAGAACTGGGATACAGCATAGGATGGGAATGTCTGAAGAGTGTCACGGGTAACATTTGCTGAGTATTTTGTTTGACCTGGAACTGCATTTTTCAATGGTTAATAGTTCAGAAGCCATTCTGACCCAGGATGTGGCTTCACTGGTGTCACCATAGCTGTGCTGCGCCTAGAACCGTATTACCAAAACCGTCATATACATTGTGTATTTTACAGCTCTGGGTCAAATTGTGAATAGCTGAGATAACAAATAAATTAAGTAGTTCATCAGTGGGAAGACAAGAGCCTGCATCATGGTGCAGGTGGCAAGCACTGGCAGCTGATCCAGTGCTTCAATCAGGCTTCGTAACCTCTGCTGAACTCGGTGCTCTGATAATAGTATTTCTTCCACCTTGCTGAAAGCTGGTGAGAAAGCACTGACCCCTTTGTGAACCTCACAGGCTCCATATGCCAATGCCTGAACTGCCACCCAGATACCAGTGAGGTCAAAGAGCTGGAGGAAGATGATTTGCAAAGCATCCTCTGGAAAATACACCAGCTTTCACCTCCTTCCTCCACCCTGGCCCTGGCTTGTGGAGATGCTTATGATCAGGGCAGGGTTTCTGTGTGAATGTTGGAAGTGAGGTTGGGCCTAGCTAAATTTGTGCTCTTGCTTGACGTGCTGACGTTGAACTTGATAGCAAAGGATTTCCATTCTCTTCCGTGTCTTATGCTCTGTGCAAGAATGCACCTGGCAGTTCTGAGCTACATGCTGCTTTTCCAGCCCCCCTTCCCTGCTAGCTTATTCCTCTCTCTAAAATAATTTGAGCCAGACTTAGCTTCTTGATGTCTTACCTCATGCATGCAAAAAGCACACGCACTCTCAGTAAAAATTCTCCGTGTTAGTCTTCTGTTCTCTCCTTTCCTGCTTTTTGTGCTGTAAAGAGATAAAGTGTCTTAGCATACAGTGTTATGTTAATTAGAATAGCCAGTAGCCTGAAGTAATAAGTAGGTAGGATTTTGTGGGTTAATGTACAAATTTATAGCAGGCTACAAAGGCTCTGCAACAAGGGCGCAGTCCTTCATTGCGTATTTGTTCTATTTGCTTGTTAGGGGTTTTTTTGTGCATAAGACATGCTGTCATCTTCAGAAGGTCACACTTCATGCAGATAAACATTTTGATCATGTGTACAATTAATGTAACATAAGTGTGTCTTTCAAAGTACAAGTTCACACGTGAATTACCAAAAGACTCTTGATTTAAAACACACTGTAGGCAAGACAGTGGGCTGAAAATGTGATTTTACAATGCTAGGGAAGAAACCTTTGCTTGGGAGTGGATTGTAATTAAGGAAAACAGTTGTATTCCTTACCACTCTTTGCTGTGTAGATGATGTATCTTGTAACCTGTGTCTGTCTGTTGCTTTTGTGCTGCAAAGGGAGTGCCTTCTCAGGTTACTTTGTACGACCACAAGTTAGACCTTGATGTTCTTTTTAGTCTGTATCTCTGGTCCAATATATCAGTGCTCCAAGTTACGAACCCCATTGTGTTAAATATGGAGTTTGCAAAAAAGTGAAACATACTGAAATACCTTTGTCTTTTCTTCTTCAGGGTAATAAAGTTTTGCACAGTGCCTGCCCAAGAAGTGTGATGAGAAATGGCTTTAGGAAACAATACCCAGAGAAGTTATTCCATCATCCCCTGCTTCATCTTTGTTGAGGTGAGTGCAGTGTTCATTTGCCAGGCCTACACAGAAGGCAGCTCTGCCCTGCAGGAATTAAGTAAGTCATTTGTTGGCCATTTTGTTTGTAAGGAAGAATGCTTTCTTACTTGTAACATGAATATCCATCTTCATACTCAGTGTCATCAATATCCCCTGAAAACAGTCCTGCATGAGTTAGCCAGATCTTAGGTACAAGCACGCAAGAACAAGTAGATGCTGTGTTTTCAAAACTTGCCTCTACCAGATTTGCCAGCTAGTCCTGTGGTATTTGGTAGATAACAGGCAGTAGTTCCCAGTGTAGGTCAGCAGCAGGTCATTGCTCATCTTCCCATTTTTTCTCAGACTTGTATCCATCTTGCTGTTGCACAAGGACTAGACCTTGTTTAAGGAAATGTCTGCTCTCACAGTCTAATGGTTCATAGGCTTAGGAAGCAACACTGAGCTCTGGTTTCAGTTCAGGTGGAACATAAAATTTAGATAAGGCATGCCTATCCTTTAAGTATGAAGAAGCTTGGCTGTGAGTTGACTAGCAGTGAAGTTACAGGAGTGGTTGTTCCCACAGTGGAGTATGGCTCCATATCTTTGTTCAGGGTAGTTTATTTTGTTTTTTTGGTTTTTTAAATTGGCTTATTATTTTACTCTGTACAAATTGCTTTTTTTTGTGGTGCTTCTTTTACTTACCCTAACACTGCTAGACTGACCAAAATCATTATCCAAATCAATGTATGTTCAGCTGGTGCTTATAAGGCTGGTATGGTTTTCCAGGCAAGGGGGGCAACTCTGGGTTTCCAAGGAGGATGAAAGCTTCCATCAAATTTAGATGGTGAAAAGGAGATAACTGCCTGTGACTGACCATCTTCAGAGCCGCCTGTCTGATGTAGCTTGGATACAATACTCACTCTTTGGCCCACATTATGAGGCAACTTGTGCACTTCCACAAGAGAAGCACTAAGAATTGTCAAAAGAGTAATTGTAATGCTGAGTGTTGTGTAAGACTTAGGCCATTTTCACTGAAATCTTGGAAAGGTTTCAATGTGCTGCAGTAGCATGTGTAATGGGCACTGTGAATGGTTGCTTTCCAGAGCTCCTGAGCACTGACCTTTCCCCAGGGACATGGGAAAAGCATGCAGTGGTATCCAGGACCTCTCTAACCCTTACTCACCTGGAGTCCCCTCTTCAAAGCATCTTCTCCAGCCAGGAGATACAGTTCCTTTGTATGCACTCCTTGCTTTCTGTCCTACCAGCTTAGCTCTCAAAACACAGTCAGATGATCCCTGGGTGCGTAATCTAATGTAAGTGGAAGTTGTCCTTTTGACTTGAATGGGCCTTCCTTGCAGGAGAAATCTGACTGGTTGGAAGATGAGGACAGAGGTAAAGCATAATAAAACCACTAGTAAAGCTTGGCATAGGGGCTTCCCAACTGCAGCTATGGCAGACACCAGTGTGAGAAGGTAGCTGAGCCTTGCAGTGCTTCACAGGGATTTGTCACCGACATAATGTCCAGCTTCCTGGGGAATCTCTGCTCCCTGGGGAAACTGAGGGGCTGTTCTTACTGAGACAATGGGTCACTGCTTTATTCCATGAGCTAGACAAAGAAAGGTTAAAAATGGGGAAAAAACAGCAATAAGCTGAGAAGAAACCCAATAAACACCATCAGGAATGAGATGTCTCAAATTTATTGCTTAAACAAGCAGCTGTGAAGACTTTTAGTCCTCTAAATGTATGAATGATGAGCCTGGTTCGCAGCCTATGACAGAGATATAAATTGTCCTTCCTGCAGACAAGACTGACATGAATATAAGAATAAATCTTTTTAACGGAGGAAGAGAAAAGAGTTTTTTGCCTTGTAAGTGTACTTTCCTTGTCCTTTCATATACTTGCCTTGCTGATTAAAACACAATTTTAAATTAAAAATCAGTCAAAAGCAGAGAGGTAGTGTCTGAAAAGATGTTCTCTCTGCTACACTTGATGAAAACATGTATTTCATCCCCCCTTTGTCCCCAGTGTAGATTTTTAATGTGGCACTAGTGGAACTGCAAATTCATAGACTTATGTCAAGCATTGTAGCATTAAACAACAGGAAATCTAATTTCCTGCTGGGAATGCAGAGATGATTGATAGTAACCATTCGGTGTAAAAAGTCCCTGTAAATCTTGAGGCACAGTGAGGGTGTTTTTCTTTTCCTACTGCCATGCTTCTGAGACTAAGGGAAGTGCTTTTTAGATTAACGACCCCAGACACCAAGCCCTGTGCTGGATTGCCTGGGTTAGCATGGGCCCTATTTTTGTAGCTTTGAAGCAACCATGAGAATTGATTAGCTGTGAGACACCTTGCTGCAGTTGGTAAAGGTGCATGCAGGACAGCTAAAACTGTTGCATGCTGTCCTGATAAGATTTTTCTATGCAAAAACAATCTAGCAGCAGACATGTTAGATGATCATGAGTAGGAAAAGAGGTAAATATTATCATAGGTCAGTAAATATTATCTGTTTCCCAGAATGTGCTGCCTCCCCCACTGTCTTCCATGGAATGTGGTCCTGTGATTAAAAGTTTTGAGATATTTGCTCTTAAGAAAACAAATGCTGAGCCTTGACTTTCATGTCAGATGCCCTTCCAGTAGATATTTGCCCACTGCGCAGTATGCAGTGTGCATTCAAAGAAGTCATGCTGGCAGTGGTGGAAACAAGGAGTCACAAACAGTTCGGACATTTTAAATACCATTATGCTTCAGTCTGTGCAAATGTGACAATTAGTTATAATTTCAGCAATTATTGGCATTACCATTTTTTTCCATTTCATTTTCCTTCCACTGAACTAACTTGTAGCAGTTAGTTATTATGAAACCTGACCTGAAGATGAATGGCTTATTATAAAAACTTAAACCCTGTGCCTGACTCTACAAATTCCTTTTTATGTTCAAAATATGAACTTTTTAATAATACAGAGATAGCATATGATGTCTAATCTGTAATGACAGAAATGTTAAATCAACATTTTCAGTCCCTAATTAGAAACACAATGTCACATTATGAGTAGATTTAAAGGCTAAATAGGGAATCATTAAACTAATTTTTAGCCACTTATCAAATCTGAGTCCCTCTCCCAAATAATGCAGGCAGCCTTCTAGATGGTTCTTTATTGTATTATAAGAGGTATCATTACAGTCTGGCATTTGTCACCAAATGTCTATGAAGATTTGGTATATTACATTTTGTTAAACACAGAAGCAATTAATTAGGATGTACAGGAGACTAACATTCTCCTTTCCCTGCCCCCCTTTGCGGTATTGCTTGCAGACAGCATCAGTGAAAGGAGCCTTTAGGAGGCTGTTGCCTGGCCTTGGTTTACATGTAAGAGGTTGCAACAAGATGAGACCGATTTTATTCCTCATTCAGCTGACGTGTGCCACTGCTTTGAGCAGTGTATGGACTGTTGAGAACCTGGTCCAGGAGGACTGATGCTGTTAGCTGCTGACAATTGTTAAATAGAAGTGCAAAGAGCAGGATGCCCTACTCCAGTAGCTTCCAGAGCTGTTTGGAGTCAGTGATTGACCCACAACATGAAGCAAAGGCTATAGAGCTCCTAGTTGTTGGTATGCCCTGTATTTTTCCCAGCAAATGCAAATAGTGCACAGCAGCTTGTTTGGGGATTTTTTGGTGGCCAGGAGTGGTCACTAAAGTGGTCTTATGGATTGTAGACAAGCATGAGAGAAAGTAGGAGAAGCAGCATCTGGGATGACAGGAAAAAATTTATCACATATTCTTCCTTTTTCTCGTACTTTTGACTTATGGTGGCATTTGTTACCAAAACAGTTTGTGGAGCATCTCCTCCCTCCTTCACCTGCTGGGACATGCATGACAGAGTGCTGTGAGAAACATCTTTAATGATGCTTCAGCACAGCTGTCTCACTATTTTGCAACCCCGCTTTGCAAGGTTTGATCCAAGGAGTGCTATGTTACATCCTTCCATGTAATATCCACATGTGTACTGGTTGAAGGTGGGGAAACGTAAAATCACAACTGGCAAAGGTGTGTTTTGTACACAGTGGCCCAGTTTTGTGCAGGCAGTTGTCAGAACAACTAAGCTCCCTCAGATCTAGGCAACGTCAGGTGTGGAAGTGGGTGAAGTGCAACGCCTGGTGAATCCCAGTTCTCTTCCTAGGAGACTGGTGAGCTACCCTGAGGTCTTGATCTAGCAGTGCTTTCCACATGCTGTGGTCTTTCTGTCTTTCTTCATGCCATTCTGAGTGTTAGCTTTCTAGGACGAAACTTATGCTAGGGTGGTGCAGAAGGGACGAGAACAGTGTGGTTTTGAATTTGGTGGGTCAAAGTGATTATACTTGCTTTTGCAGCGTATTTGACATTTATCATTAGTGACAGAAAGTGTAATGCTATGTGATAATTGCATTTTCTAATAGATGCTCGAAGGATAGTTGCATACTATGAGTAAACAGCATCCCCACAACTATCTGTGACTTCAGGGGGAAGGCATGCGAACAACCTTTGAGCTATTGTGTCTGTTTGAATGGTGGTTTTTAAAGAAGCTACAAGCAAGCAACGCTTCCTCTTTTTCCTGCAAAGAAAACCCTCTCATCTCTTCTGAGTCAACAGCAGTTAGGACTATAATGGCTCTCTAGAAAATACAAAGAGAAATTTATTCTGGAATTTCTGCTGATGCAGCGCTTTCTACTTCCTTTTTCCTCCTCCTCCTCATGCTGCAGGTCCTGCTTTGAGGGCTTGAGTTGTTTCAGGGTGTGAGTTGCCTAAAGATTTATTTTCAAGTACAGTTACTTCTAAAGGAGTCAGGCACATCTGAGGTGTGTCTTTGCACAGGAAAACACTGCAGTTTTCTGGCACGAGATTTAATTAAGTTGTCTTAAACTGATCAAAGAGTTACTGAATACCAAGTGACTTTAATATGACTGATGTATGTGCCACATTGTGCTTTATTGTGGATTATTGTAATCCTGACATTGACAAGGTAGTAGGGGCAGACTCA